ATTTAGTTTTTGAATTTTTAATTATTCTCACTTTAGTCCTTCAACTATCAATTTTATCTTAATTAAATCTTTTTATTTATTTTTACCGTTCGATCACCAATGCTAAAATGGCCAATCCTTTAGTTATTTTCAATTGATCGCTTACACGATAGCTTTTTTATTCTTAATTTATCACTTCATTCTGTCATCAAACACAAAGAACCAATCACCACAAACAATTCAAAGTAAACGAGCAAAATAGCATTGACTTCAAACATTTTTCTATGAAAGCTCCTCCCTAAATAGCACTCTCATTAAATAGTAATAAATATATAATAAATAACGGTCTTGTAGTTTATTCAAACTTCTGAGAACCTTGATGTTCCACGAATGAATGAATGAATACATCTGGCTTGGTACATTACATATTTATTTTTTTCTTATACTAATTTTTACAAGAAAAATTATTTTTGCTAATTTTTTCTTAAACATCGAAGCCTCTTTTGTAAATTTCATTTATTAATTTTTCAAAATAATTTTTTTACCCTGTCACAAGGGGAAGCTCACGGTGATCATTCCACATTTTGATCATATTCATCTTACAAATCACCAAGTGATGTAGATTTTTTTTGACACTCAAATTTTAGGGAAAAAAAAAACATTTTTGCTAATTAATGTTTTCAATACCCACTTTTTTTTGTAGTAATTTTTCCATATTTCTTTAACTTTTCAAATGCTTAAATTGAAAACTATCATGTTCGGACAAAGTTTAATTGTAAGTAGGGTTGATAATCAAACCAAATTACTCGGATTCGGATTCGGACTCGGACTCGGACTCAAACTCAGGTTCGTCTCATTTTTGGTATAATTCGTTTTTAAAACGAGTAGAATTTGAATAATTTTTTAAACGAGATTAAAAATTCGATTCGTTTATATGTAAAATTATTAAATTAGTTTCACCGATACGGAACTGAGTTGACTCAAAATCTTAAGTCCATTGAATTCGACTTAATTATCGAGTTTAATTTTAGGCCGACATGAACAAGGTTTGTTGAAAGAAAAGATGAATGGTCTTCAATAATGATTCAAAGAGTGTTTGTTGTGATGACTCAGTCAAAATGACACCTGACCTGTCTCTTGGTTGGTGGTGGAAAGCCATCGGAAGAAGCCTCCAAACGTTATTGCATGGTTGGAAACATGGAATTGGCGACACCCACGGATACCGCGTTAGCCGCCATGCGACAAAACAAATCATACACGTATTTGTTTTCTGAAAATTCTATCAAGAATTGTCAAGCTTCTTTTGCAGTGTTGTCCACCAATTATCAGGGGAAGTATTTACATTATCGAAAAAAAAAATTTATTTTTTATTTTTAAAAATAACTCATGTTTATATATTTTTTTAATTTAAAATAAATTATCGAGATTAATAGAAACGTAGTACCGATGTGGCTATTTCAGGCTTATCCGCATTATTAATCATGCATTTGGTTGGTTTTTTTTTTGTTAATTTTTTCAGTCAAAACTAAAAGCAATTTGCAAGCAGTGGCGAGAAAGAGATGGTCTCTTTTATCTGCCAAGACTGTCAGTTTCATGCTCTTATTTTTCTTTTTTCCTTTTGTTGGATAACAACGCGCTTCATCATGCTCTTACGGTTGGGCCAGTCTAATTACAGTTACTTATAGGAAAAAAATTTTAATTACAGTTTAGTTTTTTTTGGATTATTTTTAGGATTAATAATTGATGGATCATATTTAGGGCAAATTACACTTTTACCCCGCTACAATACTATTATTGTATATAAATGAATTTTTAGTCAATTTTGTCGAATAAGGGAATTGGAGTAAACAAGATATAATCAGAAAAAAAATCATAAAAAAATGAGATTTCAATGAGAAATGGATTTTATTTAAATAACTAAGTTCTCTTACTTTTTTTTTTTTTTTTGCGGGAGGAATTTTGATTATTATCCAAGTCAAGTCTTGCACAAAAACCTACTTATAATTATCTATATTTTATATATATATTGGTATGGGTAATATTATTTAGATTATTTAACTTTAAATGCTGTTATATATTTAAATTTATTATTAGTTCAATAATTATAATTAATTAAATCAATAAATCAGATCAACGATTTGATTTGAAAATGGAGAAAAGGGTCGGAGTCCTCTTTTTTCCCCCTAAAAAGATAATGGAAAAGAAAGACGTCGGCCCCACGTACGGATTACGCGTTGAGAAACAGAGTCATGAGTCCTTTGCTTTCAGTCATTGAAGTTGTAGGAACCTGTCTGCTTGTTTTTTCGGTTTTTTTAAAAAAATAGGGGTGTCAGGTGTGTGCAAAAATTTAATTACTGATTTGATTTTAGGCGATTAATAATTATTAATTTAAAGAATAATAAAATATATTATTAATAAATATGTTTTGGTACTATAACCGTTTGAGAATCATAAATTTTAATTTAATTAAAATTAATTTATTTCTTTTACTTATAAAAATAAAATACCATAAACAATTAAATAGAAATACTTTGCATAAATTTAAATTAATGGACACGGAATAGTTTTCTAATTGATTGCACGTGATGTTTGACCAAAACGTGTGTTTGACTCCTCACATTTTTTCTGCAAAAGGACACCATTTTCATCTTATTTTATCCACACTGATATGATAAAAAAAAAATATCGAAAAACGTACGGAATACCGAATGAATTTTAAATTCCTTTTATTTTAGTTTAAACTAACAGTACCGATAACGCGTGAAGGAAAGCTCTCGTGTAAATAAGGGGACATGTATCTGCAGTCTCTACTATTATTCTAGTTCTTAAAAATTTAAATTTAAATTTATATAGTTATAAAATATTAAATTTAATCGTTATAAGATAATTATCACATCCAATGAAACACTGTATCGAAAATTGTAATTTTTAAGGTCAAATTATAATATTATGGAGTATAAGTTATAACTCTAAGTTTGTTTAGTTTAGGCACTAGATAGTATCGGATTTGACAAACTCGTCCATCTCATATTCATTTATTTAGGTATTTGACTAATTATAGTGATAATGTCTCCTCGTCTTATGTTTGGTTAAATATTAAGAATTAGTGGACCTCACATTTCTCCCCGCCAATATTTCATTATGGTATAAATCTTAAATTACTAAAAAATATTCAAGATAATTATATTCCAAAGATTCTTAAGGATAAAAATATTTTTTGGCAAAACATATTTCCAGCCGAACTATTTAAACCCAGCAAATAGGTGGATTTATTTAAGAAGTTATATGTGAGTTTAAAAATACTATTCATTCAGGTCGGGAGTATTTTAGGTGATAATATTGGTCTCAAAGCGTCTTTAAATGAAAAAATAAATGGGATAACATAGGCCCAAATGTTATTTTATTCAAGATTCTCTGTTAATGCATAAATCAAACACACCCAAATTGTAAACTATTATTATCAATTATTAAAATTAGAATTTTTAAAAATTAAATTACACGTGTATAATTTTTTTTGAATATTTAAATGATATTTTAATCTTTAGTTTTAACATAAAAACAAGCAATGCTACTTTAACCTAAATTATGAGATTGAGATACAGTTGGCAATTATCCAAGTCACCATTGATAAGTACAAGTTCGGTTGCCTGATTGATTATTATTATTTTTTGGGTAAATTACGCTCAAATCTCTTGATATTTGACTTTATTATACGAACACCTCTTCACATTTCAATAATTACATTAAAACCCCAATAGTTAAATGGAGTTAACTCTCTTAATAAAAAGACTATTTTGCCCCTCTATTTAACCCAACCCAAACCCAAACCCCAACCCCAACCCATGCCCTATCGCTAAACCTAATCTTCGCCTTCTTTGCACCAACGATCCAAATGATTCTCTTTGACTTTCTCTCTCTTTCTCTCACTCCCACCAGTGATCCTAACAATCTCAATCATCAATTTTTTTTCTCTCTCTCTCTCTCTGTGTGCATGTGTGTGTGTGTATATACATACATATATACATACACACAGGCAAAGAGAGGAAAAACCTACTTGAAATCGTAGAAAAACTAGCAAAAATTTCCAGCCCTCCCCACCATTGCAGCACCCATTCAGTAACCTCCCTCATCTAAAATGCCAACCCACCTAAGCAAAGAACATTGGGAGAGAGGAGAAGGAAGAAGGAAAGAGAAAGAGAGAAATTGAAATGACAACGGTAGTTTTTGGGGTTTAATTTTGACAATGGTGGTTGTTAGGTTATGTGTGGTATGGTTGAGGAGGTGGTTATGGAGATAAAGGTGGTGAAATTTTGCTGGATTGTGGTAGTGGTGGTGTGTGTTGTGTGGTTATGGAGATGAAATGGAGATGGGGGTGGGGGGTTACTCCATCACTAGTAGTGGTGATGTTTTATATTTATGTGTGTGAAGAGAGAGAGAGAGAGAGAGAGGAGGTGGTGGTGGTTTTTGTGGTGTGGAGGCGACGATGGGTGGTGGGTAATGGTGTTAATGGTGCATTTAGGGGCAAATCTAGATTGACAAATAGAATTTACATAAATATGTTATATAATAAACAAAAAATTCTAGTATTTAACTGATTAATTTGATAGATTATGAAAATAAATATTTAATTGAAAGAATTTTAGTTTAAATATGAAATATAAAATAGAGAAATAATAAAGGAGATATGAGATAAAAAAAAATGGGGTAAAAAGAACAAATATTTAAATTTAGTTATGAAGGGTATTTTTGGTATTTTATAAATTATTATTAATAACATCAACTTTGTCCATGAAATATTCTAACATTGGTTAGTTGGAGGGGTGTAGTTGTTATAAGTTTTAAATATTTTGGGAGTTTTTTGTAATTTTTGAAATATGAGAGGGTGTCCATATAATAAAATCAAATGTCAGGGGTGTGAGTGTAATTTATCCTAACTTTTCCCTGATTGCGATAGCACTGTTTTTCTCGAGCAACTTGGTGGCCTATTTCTTGAGCAACTTGGTGGCCTATTGGGTGGGTGAAAATTGCAATAGCTTTTCCAAAAGAAAAACCCAAATCTCCATAACTTCTGAACTCTATATCATCTACACCACTATAGCAATTTGGAAAAATTGATTGAACTCAATCTTATATTCCAGTTCGCTTATTATATTCATTCCCATGCATGATCTAATACCACTTAACAGATTCACTACCCTTTTGGCTTCTGCTCGCTTACCGGAGAAACCAGAAGTCAACGACAATCTCTCAGAAAAAGAAGTAGAAGAAGAAGCAGAAAAAGCTGCTTGACAATCACACAATCAGACCCATTCCAAGAGCAGCCCGAGTCCCAAAAACGAAGAGATGGCTCGACTCTGTAGAAACCACTTTCTCTCACCTCACCACAAGATTCATTAATGGCTCCGGTGACACTGAAAGTGACCCTGTATTGATACACTTGTGGCAGTTGAGAAATAACCTTCTGCCATTAATAGCTTCCGCCTTTACTCTCCATGAACGAATATAGAGAACCAAAGCCTCACAGACACGTAGGTACAAATACAACATAGCATACAAAGAGAGAGAGAGAGTGTGACTCTCTGCATATTTGCATATATAGAGCAAAGAATTAAAGTTTCTGATTTAGGTAAGAATTTACAAGTTGGTACTCAAGTCTTGTTCTCTTGAATTTATTGTCCATGCTCATGTACTCATAGATATTCATAATTGCAGAGAGACAGAGAGACGGAGTAATGAAATGCACGGACATCATCATTATCATCGCCATCACCGTCAATAATGACAATGACGGAGCTCTTTAGACTGTCGTCGTCCTCCCCACCGCACTATCACTCTTTGCCATGGAAGCTCAGCTAAAGCTTGTTCTTTTTTTCTTGGCCGTAAACTCGGTCTTGTCTCAGCAAGTGCGACTGAGTTCTGAATCGGAATGGTCGGCGTTACTGGACCTCCGGTCGTCGTTAGGTATTAGAGCCAAAGACTGGCCCAAAAAGTCTGATCCTTGCTCGAACTGGACAGGAATAGAGTGCCGGAACGGCAGGGTTATCGGGATGAACTTATCGGGATTAAGGAGAACTCGACTTGGCCGTCTCAACCCACAGTTCTCAGTTGATTCTCTGGCCAATTTGACTCTGTTAGCGTCGTTTAATTCATCTGGGTTTTTGCTTCCTGGGTCTATACCCAACTGGTTCGGCCAATCCCTAATGGCACTCCAAGTGCTTGATCTTAGGTCTTGTTCAATTGTTGGTCCTATTCCATCTTCATTTGGAACTATGGGTAGACTTAATTCTCTGTATTTATCAAATAATTCGCTTACTGGGACTATTCCTTCTACTTTGGGGAATTTTTCTTCAGTAGCTGTTGTTGATCTTTCGCAAAATTTATTGACAGGATCAATTCCAAATACTTTTTCAGATCTTAATAATCTTACTACTCTTGATCTATCTTCGAATTTCCTATCCGGGCCAATTCCTTCTGGTTTTGGTTCACTTAGGAGTCTTCAGTTCTTGAATTTGTACAATAATAGTCTAGATGCTTCTATTCCTGTCCAGCTGGGTAATCTTTCTCAGCTGATTGAACTAAATTTGGGATCCAATTCTTTGTCTGGGTCATTACCAGGGAACTTAGGAGGGATGAGAAGTTTGCAGAAACTGTTGATCGGAAATAATGATCTAGAGGGTCCATTGCCGGAAGCTTTGTGGAAAATGCAACAATTGCGGTTTCTTGATGTGTCTGACAACAACTTCACTGGTGTTTTTCGGAACCTTACTGCTGCTTTTAATGCCAGCGGTGAAGTGTTCAACTTCTCAAACAATCAGTTCTATGGAAGTTTGGTTTCTGTAGTAGGCAAATTTGGTTCAATATATCTGTCTGGTAATTATTTTCAAGGTGTAGCTCCTAATGATATTGGAATAAACATTACCGTTGCTATAAATTGCTTTCAGAGTGTGCCTAACCAGAGGAGTTTCGAGGAGTGTAGGAGGTTTTATGCTGACAGGGGTCTAAGTTTTCGTGATGAAAGTGCCCCAGATGCAATGCAACCTCCGTTGCCAGAACCTTCAAAGAGCAAAAAGAGATTGACATATGTACTGGTGGGAATTTTTGGTGGACTGGGCTTCATTGTGATATTGGTATTGGTGTTGGCACTGCTCTTGAAAACATGTCAAAACAGAAATGCAAATCAAAGAGGGAGTGCAAATTTGGGGCCTGTTCCACAAGGAGTCAGCACAACACCTCCCAAGGATTCTATTAGTTTATCAGGTCTGGGAGAATCATTTACATTTATACAAATGCTCGCAGCAACTGATGAATTTAGTGATACAAACCTCATCAAACATGGTCACTCTGGAGACCTCTTCCGGGGAACATTGGAAGGTGGTTTACCTGTAGTTATCAAGAAAGTTGATTTGCGTTCCTTCAGAAAAGAATCTTACATATTGGAGCTGGACGTGTTCAGCAAGGCTACACATACAAGGTTAGTCCCACTCTTGGGACACTGCTTGGAGCAGGAGGATGAGAAGCTATTGGTTTATAAATACATGCCGAACGGAGATTTGTCTAGTTCCCTGTACAGGTTTACCAATTTGGAAGATGACAGTCCACACTCTCTGGATTGGATTACAAGATTGAAAATTGCGATAGGAGCTGCAGAAGGTTTATGTTACCTGCACCATGATTGTAACCCTCCCCTTGTTCACAGGTATCACAACATTTACTACTACTTTTTTTGGTGGGAGACGAACTACTAATTTTGTGATGATTCTTAATTTTGGTTTTTGGTTCCATATGAACACTTATTACCTTCATTTATATTGTACCTGTAATTTAGAATGCTATTAAATTGGCTTCTATTGCCATTATTCCAAATATTATCTCTTGGCATTAGGTTCACATTTCCTTGGATGATGAAGTTAATTAACATAAAGCGATACTTAAAAGTATTTTTTTTTTTTTTGTTTGGGGGGGGTTGATGCATGTCATTTGTCTAATTCTGCTTTGATTTTGTATGGACTCCAATCACTTTAGAGTTTTTTACTTCTGACTAAACAGATAGGGTGCACAAGATGTGCTTGTGTAACATAGTTATAGTTTTACGATAACCTGCTGTGGCAGTTGCCTCTTTCAATTAATCAAATAAGTATCTATGTTTGTGTCAGATGATAAAATCTATCAGGACCAACTTACTAGATAAAAAATATGTATCAACTATCAACAACCGCGGCACTGCATGTTGTTCGCAATGACAAGACATGTAATGGCATTGCATGCCCCTGCCCTAGCGAAGCAGATAATAAAAATTTATCATATGAAAGACCAAATAAAAAGGTCCTTCCACTTTGATACTACACATGAAGGGTTGGAGCATCTTTGTGCTGGCATCTTGGAGTACGTACATTAATTCTTGCATCCGGATAAGGCACGTGAGAATATGCATTGGTAGAGTGCTGACTGAAATTGGATTTTTTATTCTTTCGAATGAAGCTAACCATTCAGGGATGCTGGTCAAGAGAGATTTCTATACTTAGAAGTGTCTTTTCTGGATACTAATAGTACTCATATGCTTTCAAGTGCTGTTGTACTTCTTTTTTGCATTTGTTTAATATGAAAGAAGTGTGCACAAATCTCCACGTGTTTCTGTGCCCATAATAATTATTTTCTTTAATTTATTGTGGTTGAAGAGATATTCAAGCAAGCAGCATCCTTCTTGATGATAAATATGAAGTAAGACTTGGAAGCTTGAGTGAGATCCGTGCTCACGGAGTCGATAATCATCAGAATGTGGTTTCAGGGTTGCTGCGAAGGCTACAGTAAGTATATATGAGTTGTTAATTGTTCATACATTTTTTGCATTGTACATATGGTTGAAACACCATTATGTTTTCCATATTGCTTACTTGGATTATTTCAACTACAAGTAGCTTCGACTTACCACATTTCCTTGGAGAACATATTCGTACATGGGCTGTTAGATCCATGGCTCACTAAGGTCCACCTTGCTCCTCTTGTTTGATGGGCTCTAAATGCCATTGGATGCTTGAGCTGGGGTTGGGGTTGGGGTTGGGGTTATGCTCTAATGCCCATATAGGATCCATAATTAAGCAGGATTAGTATAAGAATTTGTGCATGATATAACTGAAAAAACATTGCATAAGCTACTGAATTGGCATGGTTTTGAATATTCAATACCTGAAATATATCCAATGATATTAGATCTTGCTGAAAAAATGAACTCTTCCAAGGAAAGAATCCACTGAACAAATTTGCAGCAGTCTACTCCTTAAGACATTCGAAGAATATGTGACTGCCTGTACAAATCTGCAGGGTTTTTCCTAAGAGACTTATTGATATGGACTGCATGTCTGGTAATGAACTGCTGTCCAGAACCTGAATGGACCATGGCCAATTGAGGGTTTCTTTCCCCTTTCTCAGAGCCCTAAGGATAAACCCCTCTGCCCTTAATTCAAGATTAGAAGCCAGCTTCTTGTTGTATCTGTTATTCTTTGTGGGTTAGTTTTTTTTTACCTCCCCGTAGTTTCAGCTAGAAGCACCTTACCCACTTGACGTTAAAAATTATGCACATTACCCCCTTGTAGTTATGTGTATAATTTTAAACGTCAAGTAGGTAAGGTGCTTTTAGTAGAAACAACTAGGAGGTAAAAAATAATTATAATTATAACTATAACTATAAGGGAGGTAAAAATAATTATAACTATAATTATAAAAAATATTTGGTACATAACTATAAGGGAGTAATGTGTAAAATTTTAAACGTCAAGTAGGTAAGGTGCTTCTAGCTAAAACCACAGGAGGGTAAAAAACAATTAACCCATTCTTTTTTTAAATGTCTATAACCAATTTTTCTATTATATCCTGTCTGTGGCAGCATTGGTAGGAGTAAGTTTTGGTAATTGCATGTTAAATGCATTTGGTTACATAAATGTTTATATTATGTAGAATTGAACATACAAAGAGCTTCTTGACGTTCATCCTCATGAAGTTATACTTTGATAATGTGATTTCTGCCTAAAAAATTATTATACTAAGCAGTTAGTTGACAACTTATATTTTGCTTTTGTTGATGATGAAATTACTGTCTTTTTAACATTTTAGGCGAAGTTTTGAAATGCTTCTTCTTGATGATGTGCAGGACCACTAAACAGGGCTGGTCTGGTTCTGGTAAATGCAATTCTCTTCTATATGTAGTTTATTCCTGTAAGTTTGTAATTGGTTAGCAAAGGGGTGCTATTTAACGGTTGGTTGGTTAGCAACGGAAATGGTGTTAAAGATTTTAGGAAAACTGAAACATTGGTCTAAAATTTGACTCCTGTCAGACTTAGCCACTCATTCACCTCTTCAAGGCATATTTTCTGCATATACTTCATTAATTCAAATTATTTCTTCAAAGTATGTACTAATATGCTTCATCTTTCTGGAAATGAACAGGACCATCATCCAATATATGTGCTTACGACGTATACTGTTTTGGAAAGGTCTTACTTGAGCTTGTAACGGGTAAGCTTGGCATCAGCACGTCAGATGATGCATCTACAAAGGAGTGGTTGGAACACAATCTACCTTTCATCAGTATAAATGAGAAAGAACTGGTGTCTAAGATTGTCGACCAATCTATGATCTTGGATGAGGACCTAATGGAAGAGGTGTGGGCTGTGGCAATAGTGGCTAAGTCATGCCTTAATCCCAAGCCTTCTAGACGCCCTCTGATGAGACATGTCCTCAGAGCACTGGAAAACCCTTTCAAAGTGGTGAGACAAGAAAATCTCAGCTCTGCAAGGCTAAGAACAACTTCATCAACTAGGTCTTGGAGTGCTGCTTTTTTTGGTAGTTGGCGTCACAGCTCTTCAGGCGAAACCAATAAAGAGGGTACCAGCGGCCTAAAGCAGTCGGGAAGAACAGGCTCTCATAGTAGTGGAGCAATTACACAATCATCTTCACATAAAAGATCATCCAGTGAGATTTTCCCTGAGCCAGTTGAAGTGCACGACATAGAGACAGGATGAATGGTAGCAAAAGTTGGGCATAATATTGTGACCCACCTTTCTATAAATTCTATTGCTTGGTGAATAGCATTTCTGAATCTACAATTCTTTTTCATCTATTCTAAGAATTTATAGGTCAGGGTGGAGCCTATGTTGTTAGGTCCTATTGAAAAATGGTTCGTGTCGGTGGTTCAGGGCGTGGAGCTGCTGATATTGTGAGGTTTTTATTGGTTCCAAGAGCTTGTTTATTTTTTTGAATACAAGCTGCAAGATTCATCTGTAATTTGCACTTTTCATAGATATAAAGTGCCTAAATGGATTGAAAATTGTAAATATTAGTCTTAGCACTCGTGGAATAATCAAAATTTCTAAGTTGTGTCTAACAATTTGTTCTGGTGCGTGGCAAAACGCCCGTGGGCTTTGGGGCGACTTGAAAGCAAGGGAATCTATTGGGTTATGGGTCTGTACGGGCCATCATGTGAAGTCCCGTGGGCAGTCCGTTGGCCTAACCCAGAGTACGTTTTAGCCAATTTTGGCCCAATAATATTATAGTGTCAAAGGCCCCCTCTAACTCCTCACATGCCAAACCAATTTTGCTGGCTAAACAACTATACGCTCAATATAGGATTACGATGCTATTTGATACCATGATATCAAAACAACCCTTTACTGGAAATGCTATAACCAGTCTTTATCAATTAATGTCAACCAAACAGAGCTTAAATGACATGTACTGTATAGCCATTGATTCATCGGCCCTGTCTAAAAGTCGCGACATTGATTAAAAGGCTTAATGCAATTCTCATAGGTTGCAATTAGACAAAAGGAGAGACACTACTATGATGGCGCTTGTGCCATAGTCAGGTTCAGGCTAAGAAATTCCATTAAAAACACAGTTCCAAAAAACTTTAATATTAGTGGTCTTTTGAAGGGTAACCAACCAACTCCCTTGCATTTGCCATGAGAACAAGGAGAAGAGAACTCCTGTGAAAGCTTCACTTCCATGCTGGCCTTAGGCACAACTTATTACCCTTTGAATGTGATGTCTTAACAAAGTTGCAGTGACAAGGCGTTCTTCACACGCCAAGGATGTCAAACTCATGGGGCATGAAATCTTCGCTGGGTCTATAATACTTGCTGGGGGAATATAGGCTCAAATTAGTCACTTGGCTAGTATACAGGCAAGCAAATCTCTCCACCTGCGTAATCCAAAATGAAACAGGGTCGATAAACACCACAAAATAAGAATGTAATCCTCCTTGAGCTAGAAGAACATTTCATACATCATCAATCTGACCTGATGTGCAAAGCGAGAATTCTGATAGCCAGTTTTCATTAGTTGTCCCCAAACCTTGTGGAACTGAAAAAAATTGGTGAGAAACATATCAAACAGATATACTACTAGATATTCACCAACATGAAACATAAGTGTGAGAAATTTAATGGAAATCCTATAAGGGTCGATAAACAATGACGCAACCAAAGGTCTCTAACTCTCTATCCCTTTGAAAAAGAAATAGTAATTATAATAATAAAGAATGATACATATAACAGTTCATTAATAAACAAAGGATTTGCTGCCAATCTGTAATACTGAAATACTCCAGTGTAAGAATCAGTTGCCAGGTCCAAGAGTTCAAACAGAATCCTCCAGTAAATTTACCTTTTGGTGACATGTTCTTTGATCCAGTTGATGACGGAGCCGGACTTGTTCCCTTTCAGACTACAAAATACAAAATCAGGAAAAAATAAATAAATAATACATGATTTGATTCCAGATGACAAATTTCATGACATGCAGCAGTGAGAGCTTAACAAATAATGCACGACAAGTTGACATTTCATACTGTGCTTATGGGGGATATCAAAATAACATTATTTCATTGATATTTGACTTCAAACTACCTCTTGTTCCAAAAGTGTAAGTGTTTAAAATTACATTAAATAAAATAAAACAAATACCACAGTTTTATAAGCAATAGCTCTCCATCACCATCCAATCAATCCTGCATCACCAATCAAACCTGAACCAAAATATGACAGCTTAAAATATAAAACAATAAATCAACAAAAAACGAATTGTTCTTCCATGCACACCAGATTCTTTGGGAACAATGATCGAAGTTAAGAGATTCAACATCCATATCTAATTATGAAAATTAGATGTTCTAACAGAAATAAAGAAAATTTGAGAAGTCTCTAAACTAGAGATGGCTTTGACCAATGGATTCAAATACTGTACCAATACAAACATATCAATAGTTTATAGAATTGGAGCCAACATGTGGTGGTTATAGCTACAGAAGCCAAAAAAACATAGAGGGACAGAGATAAGAGATGATAGGCAACATGCTTAAAAGTTTGCACACCCAACAGTAAAAAGTGTAGATACTTACTTGAGAGACCACTTCAAATGATCTATTTTGTCTTCAATGAGATCGCGCTCATTCCTCCACAATCGAAGTTGCTGCATGAATCACCCAAAACTTAGGAGTCAACAGAGAATGGAAAACTGAAGTTGGCCATAAGAAACTGAAACTAAACAACATAACACGCCCCCCCCCCCCCCCCCCCCACAACCAAAAAAAAAAACCCGCCAAAGGAAAAAAATAAAAAATCTCAGACTTGGGTGGCATGTGTATTATTGACTCCTTACTAATATACTCCATCTGCTACTTCAAAAGCTTTATTCTAATGTATAAGGCATGCCAGATATGCATAGGAACAGCTGAGTAATATCCACGTGTAACAACACCAAAAATACAGATATGAATTCATGCTCTTCCAAGATAAAAGACAGTGGTGATTACTATCCATATAGGAACATAATTTTGGGCAAAATTTCTGGACAGTGACCCTGCAAAATATCTGATTGGTCTCAGACACCCTACATGTGCCCCATCCATATGGATGGCTAATATTTGAGGCAGTAGGAATACTAGTTTGTTGTCATCAAACATAGACAACATCACTTCTTGGAGAAGTCAACCCTGGATTACCTAAATGCTAGGAAGCACGGATACGGACACGGGGATTCGACAAAGTTAAAAAATATGGGACACGGATACGGCTATTAAAATAATATAATATATTTTTTAAATAATAATAGAGTTGTAATATATTAAAAATAAAACATATATTATAACAATATTAATAATAAGATCTAGCAAATATTATTTTTTTGATTAAAATTGAAATAGATCAAATTAAATATCTACTATTTTTCATCAAATATCATTACATTTATTAACATTCATAGTATGCAAGTTACGTAACAAAAAATATATTAAAAAAGGAAAATTTTTAATAGTTAAAAGTTGTTTTTTTTTAATAAAAAATTCTTGGCCGTGTCCTAGACGTATCTTTGCCGTGTCCGACTGAGTTCACTGTTCAGGACACTTCTAGCCGTGTCCTAGCCGTATCCGTGCTTCCTAGCTTAAATGGTAATTGTCCAAAAATAAAGACAGAAATACCTCTTTTCTTGGGCCTGCCTGTGCTGCCTTTTTTTTTTTTTTGGGGGGGGGGTTCTATTTATGTACACAACTTTTATCATCCACACTAGTTTGATACTTCAGCTTTCTCAGTAAATTAAAAGGATATGATCATGAAAGACTGGAACTTTGTTCAGAAATTAAACCTCAAACCACTATATCTAAATGTAATGTAAGGAATATTCAAAATTGATAATTTTTTATGAACTAAATGTTTTAGTCGTATCAATACCTTGCGTGTATCCCTTAATTCCCAGAGAAGTTCAACCTCCCTCTCAAGCTCCGGAACAACAAGCATTGTCCTCCAACCTGTTAAGTCAGATAACAAGAAGAATAACCATAACAACAACGACGACAATGAAAACAACTGAGTTGAGCCATCCAAACAACAATGATAACACCCATTGAGTCAAGTACATCAACCACATTAAGCCTCCCATTCTAGCTTAATTTTTCCCTTCACAATGCATATAATGACCATTGAAATATGGCAATCACCTCTCTTAACTATCACAATATTAATCCTCTCACTCGTAAAGAAAAGACAACATAAATTGTGTGAGGGGCAGGCTGCTGTGTAGTTTAAAATCAGGCTCACACCCTGTCATCCAGATGCATAATAGAACTCAGCTTCAAGATGCCAATTGCAAAAGAAGATATTGTTTCATTCCTAGAAACTTTAATATGTTCCCCGGGTTTTTAAATTAGATGGGCACTATGAACTGTCTCGTTGAGCAGCAAGAAATTTGTGGAAAATTTTTCTTATAAATATTAAAAATCTTGTGTGCATAATTTATCTAGATATAAGAAAAACCAAGAAATAGTATCTCTTTAAACCTGAAAGTTACAAGTGAAACATAAAGAAAGATATCCCCAAACAGTTTTCAACGAAAAGAAGAGAATTTTTCGCCCATTCTGATTTGAGAGTCACATCAGTGATGTCACGTAAGTTTTGTTTCTATATTGCTCTTCCATATTTGTCCAGCCAAGAATTTTTTAGGTGCACACTGTCAACCCAATATAAGCACTATGCATCACCATCCAATTCCATTTAAAAAAAGTTTAATAACGCTTCAACAAGATAAGACAATCACAAGAAATATAACGAGCTATAATGAATAGGAAAGGACACAAAATGTGATACCCAGAACTTTTTTGCTGCGTAAAATATCCCCATAGATGTGATCCCCAACATAAAGAACCTATAAAATTGAAAAACACATTAGATCTCAAACTATAAAGAATAATCCATCAGAAGCTTATGGCCGCAAAAACATGTAAACTAACATGATAAAATCAGATTACATGTTTACTTTTAAAAAATTATACTCAACACATCATTTATCGAGTCAAAAAAATCCAAACTTTTTTACCTGCATATATTTCTACAAAAGACCTCATCCAACTATATGAAAAATCCCAAGGCAAAAAATTTGAATGAGCAAAGAAGACAGCACCTCAATAATCAATATTATCTAGAAATCAATAAAAAAAAAGAAACTAAATAAGTAAGGGAATTTTCAACCAGTGCATGTTAACATCACCTGTGAACTTGACTCAATACCCAGTAGTTTATGCAGATGACCGACATTGCCTCCCTGAAATACAGGTTCAATACATCACTCTCATTCTCTCATCATGTGAATAAAAACATAGGGATGTCTTCAAATATACCTGGAAAATTCTGCGAGTACTTTTTGATCTCTGAAGTGGCAGCCTTATAGAAGTACTTCCCACCTAGTTTAATGAAAATAAAAATAAGTCCCTAATATGATGAAAAGAAAGCAGATAAAACTACTATACA